TGCAAGCATTTCAGAATACACGCACACTGGCACACATTTTGTGCAATGCTTTCCATTGCCAACTAACTGCATGTAGACGGCTAGATGCCCTTGTAGAGGCTGCTAAGCCATCTGTTGTGTGTTTTTTCATCTGGGCCTGCAGCGCAAAATAGGGAGGATGCATGTATTCAAGAGATAGAGGAGGGGTGTTCGGATTCATTTATTTAATCCAGACAGAAACATGGATTAGCCAGAAGGGGGATTGGGTGTTAAAGTATCGCTCATTAACTTTGGATTTCCTCTCCAAAACCCACCCCATACCCATTGCTAATTGGTGCATCACACATTCACACATGCACATACGAACAACACACACACTTGGCAGCAAGAGCCAACGTCTCTCTCCCACCACCTTCCCAGAAAAGCAGCATCATCAGGGACCAGGGTGTGGCTGTGTTTGTGCCTGCATAGACTCCATGACATGTGGCAATCACATTGGAGATCATTTTCCTTCTGTACATGCAAATGAAATTAATTTAATTAATTATTTAATCATATTATGAAATAATTTAAATTGTTTAATAATTCATACAAATTAATTTTAGAACTGAATGATAGCAAATGTGTTTATTATTGACACAAGTTATATATAAATATTATTTATATATAATTGTTTACTGTAAATGTAAATACATTTAATCTGCTATTTTCATGCAATGAAGTATACACAAGTATATATTTCATTTGCTATTATTCAATTACATATATTACATTATGTATTAGTATAAGTAATTAATTGTATGTATAATGTTATCGAATGTGTGTTATTACTATATTATTATATTATTTAGTTACTATTACTATATTATTTAGTTATTTATGGAAATATTTAGTTTTGTATATTTAAATACATTTCATCTGAAATTTCATGTAATAAAAAATCATATTAATAAAAAATTAGATATTATTAGATCATATTACAGATAGATAGATAGATGTCCAAAACATTGCTGAAAATCAAAATGATGTATTTACGAGTATTGTTCAGTGACTGTCAATTATTCATTGACAAGTATATTTTCACACTGACAAAAGATTTTTGCATTTTTCAGGCAGCCAATTATGAATGTTTGGTTACACTTTATTTTAAGGTGTCTTGTGTAATTATACATTTAAGTAGTAATATTAATTAGCAACATGTACTTACTGTAAGGTTAGTGACGTGTAACAAAGAGACTGTAAAATAAAGTGTTTCCGTCTGTTCTTTAAACTATTGTTTCCCAACCCTGTTCTTGGAGGCACACCAACAGTACAGATTTTTGGATGTCTCTTTGTCTGATTCATCCGTTTGAGGTCTTGGAGTCCACCATCGAGCTCTTGAGTTGAATCAGCTGGGTTTGAGTTTGAAAACGTGTACTGTTGGTGTGCCTCCAGGAACAGGGTTGGGAAACACTGTCTTAAACACCATGTGTGATAGCAGAATACAGAATGCCTTGTATCCTATTATATTTACTGTCAAATGTTAGTCTGCATTTGGTTTTTTATGTCTGTGCAGTGATGCTGTTCCTGAAATAGAGCCCTATCAGGGTAGGAATGTTAAACATGGCACGGCAGTATATCAACACATCAGACAAATTGTTATTGTCAGAGGACATGCAGTCATTTGGGGCGGGTAGAGTTAACCCTAACACACTTTCAGTAGCAACTAGATGCTATTCCTGGATTCTAAATAAGAAAGCAGGTCGGCCTTCACAATAATTTTAGAACTTAAAACTGCTGGTAGAAAGTAAATCTGTCAGCATTTTGGCCAGGACATGTTGATGCATCTTTCAAAGTGTCAGCAGATCATAAGCCAGTATTTGAAGTAATGGGGCCAGTAAAAACTCGAGTATCTGTTAACCATACACTGTTAAAACTACATTGCAAAACAAATAGAGTCATTTCCAGATAGCAGGTAAATATCCATAATGATGCCTGGCATTGCTCTATTAGAATTTATATATTAAATTTTATTTTTAGTCCTCTGATTTGAACACTGATTAAATGGGCATTTCTCATCTCTCAAGACTTCAGTGTAGATGTCCCCTGCTATTAATTGTTTAGCACATTTGCATGAAAGTATTACTGTACATGTTGAACTTTTAAAAAAACTTTTACAACATGTTTACCATTATAGCTTACAAGATAAACTAATCTTGAAAGTGTTGATTATAGCATTATATGTAGATCAAGTGCCATGCATTGCAACTCGATTTCTGCACTCTCGTGAATGCTTTAACTTGAAGTGATTGACAGTTCCAGCAATTATAACGGGAGTGCTTTCTGTCTATAATTTGATCAAAATTTAATAACAGATGATTTCCATGCTGCTGAGAGGAAGAGTGAGAACTTGACTGTTTAGTCACTGGCTTGATTCACTGACACATAAACAGCAATAAATCATTTTGCGATAAAAAACTCTGACTGTACATGATTAGAATTAACATGATTACTTACAAGCATTACTGTCAGTCCATCAGTATCGTATTTGTAAAAGTCTGTTTGCAAAGCCTGCATCGAATTGCGACTGGTTTACCAAAGAATACACAATAAAATGTCTCTATTATAAAATAAAAACCCAGAAGTAGAAAAAGTGTCATTTTGGCAGCTTGCTTTCAATAAAAGCTGTTTTTTGGACTACAGGGAAATTTTGAGCTCTGAAACTTACAGTATGTTTTTATAGTACAGTATGTCTTGTATGACAAAAACCAGGGAGAATTTGGTTTCTCAATTCATGACCCCTTTAAAAAAGCTTTTTAAATACATTTTCTAGTGATTAATATTTCGTACATTGATGATTACATGGTGGAGATGAGCTTTATAAGCGGGCAATTAGTTGAAATGCACTCATTGTAGTCAAACATTGTAGCATTGAAGAGAACTATTTTCTTAATAATTTCAAGTTAATTTTTTTAATCTTAGAAAAAATTGGCAGACATGATCACGGACAGCCAATTACCCCAGCCAATTTCCCTTTCAAGGAAAGTCTGTTCACTTGAGCAACCATATTTGCAATGCCTACGGGCAGCTATTTTGGCCATCCAAGACCAAGTCCTATCTGCTTGATTTAGGAAATACTGAAATGTCAAAAATGGCTTGCCACACTCACATTTAAATACCATATTTAAAGTATGTGTAAACCAGAAGTTGCTACCTACTTAACTTCTATATTGTGACGTATTTCCAACTGAAAGAGAATATTAAACCGAGGGCAGTGTTTTATTTTAGCTCTCCTCCTAACAAGTAGCAATTGTAAGGTGTGCATCAGCCCGAAATGCAAGATGTTCTTTGTTGAAGATTCAAATAAGTGTAAAGTGGACAAGTTAGCTAAAATCATACAATAAAATGAATATGTTTGTCTAAAAATAGATAAAGCTTTAAAAAGTCATTCAAACTAAATTCATAATTCAGAGGCCAATAAAAAAAATAAAATAAAAAAAACCTGGGATCTGAAAAAAAGGTTGGAGCCTTTTCTGTTAATTTTGTGAAACTGAACCCAATAATTAGAAATGTTAAAAGCACTTCTGTACGAGATTGGAGGTTCTAACAAACAATAAGTGGCTGAATAAGTGAGTAAAACTCACTTAAAACAAACTGCCTTTTTAATCCTTTTATGTTTTTGTCACTCCCTGGAATGACAGTGAATATATTTCACCACACACACACACACACACACACACACACACACATAAAGAATCAGGTGAGCGCACCATATGATGTTATATTCATCACATACATTCATATTTCATCCATGTTGCGCACAGAAGCAGCAAAGCTGAAAAAAACTTACTCAAGATATCATCAATATATTTTAACCCCTTAGATTCATTATTACAAATATAGTATGTGTGTTTCTGAAAACTTTGGCAATAATTCTGTAGGAGAGATACCTGTCACATTATGCAATGAAACATACACCCAATGTTGATATGTAAATGTCAACAAATGCATAGAATGCATACAAAGTACTTCATTTGTCACTGACCACTTTAGAATGAGTTATGACAAGCGTTAGCTCCACTGATCGCAAAGCTACTTGTCTTGCTATAACGCTTGGCCATGTGTTATGAAAATTATGAGAAATGCCATTAAAGTGAGCTTTAGCAATGTTGTACCAAGGGAACCTGAGTATGTATGTACACATGAGACACATTCAAAAAAAGCTAAATTTATGTATTCATGGTTGGATAAATGGCTTTGCTCATATCTTTAATAAGCTTGCTAATATTACAAGGGTTCTGTCCCCTTAAAAAGTAGCCTCAGCATATCTTCAGGGTGAAGCGCTGGCCATTGTTAATATTATTTCAACTTTCACTCTCTGTTCTTTTATCTCTCAAATAGATCTATTTACATTGTTATATTTCACAATATTACTAATTTTTAATCAAATAAATGTGTGTGTTAAAAATGTTATATAATCATAGATATAATATATATATATATATATATATATATATATATATATATATATATATATATAAAACCATTTGTATAGGGTAATTAACAGACAAAACATAAATGATTGATTATTTCTTGTTTTTATCTCGAGTTTAATGCAGCAGAGATGTAACCAGCATTAACCATTCTTTTAGAGAAAGGGTGTACTGAGGAGGCTTTTACTGGCTTGGTGCTTGACTCCCCTAAAAACCCACCTTTCTCTGTTCACCCAGTGTGCTGCTCCATGTTTTGGGTGGTTGTGGATTTGTTTTTGTATCCCACACTTGAGCTTGTGTTACCTCGTATAAACACATATATAGAAGTATATAGATGTCTGAATGTCTTAACACACACTGGTTTGCACGTGCTAAGATGCCACACTCAACCTCCTCACACAAGAGAAGTCAACTGAAAAAAATCGGTCTTGACAGCCGCTCTCCTCTGTGAGGAACAGGGTAGTAGCAGGAGTGAGAGAGTGAGGAGAGGGAGGAGGGAGTGAGAGTCTGAGAGAGAGAGAGGGAGAGAGAGAGACTTGTGCATTGAGAGCCAGCCTCAGCCTCTATTGTGGTAAGCAGGCAAGGGAAGGCATTTAAGTAGCGGACTTTAAACCCACAGGCACAACACTGGTCACCACTGTAGAGACCCCTGAAATCAGAGGACAAGGCAATATGGAGGAGGACATGGATGAGGGACAGAATCAGAAGGGTAATAGAATGCTTTTTCTCCATTGTTTTCCCATCCATCTTTATGAGTGTGTTGTTTACCTTTGTGCCTAATCCCTCACTGCTTTTCATTGTGTCTGATCTTGTGGATTATAAAATGAGGTAATGAAAACTATTAGAATATAGGTTATTATTTTTTTTTAAATGGAAGAAGCAGCATATTCTGCCATATTTTCAATTCAAATTTTTAATGAATTCCCGTTGATGTATTTCATGCAAACACTGTGATGCAGTGCATGAATTTTTAGTTTTTGAATACATGCAATTAACTTGGCTGAGCAAATATGATGCTTACATCCTTAAAAAAAAAAAAACAATTGTCAGATTTTCGATAGGATAATGATTGTAGAGAGGTGTGTGCAGGGGATGGATCCCGTGTGAGCGCGCATGTGTATGTGTGAACAATCTGATGTGTCTGTCTTTGTTTGCCGTGCATTTCTGTCAGTCTGTCTGAGGGAGGCTGAGACAGATGGGAGAAACGTCTTCTTCATGCAGTGGACCGTCTTCTGCAAGCATTTAAATAGTCATCCTAATTCACCCATTGTTTCCACTTCTTTCATTTTCTTGGCTTGCTCTTTCATTTGTGTGCAGGAGCATTTGTTTGCTTTGTGTGAGAGGGAGCTTGCTATTTATAATACCACCATTTGCAGGGGCTGAGGTTTCGAGCTCAGGGTGAAAATCACTGCATGTCTTTTTTTCTTCTTTGGTGGTCTATAGAGAAAATATTTGCACATGACTGCATGGTGAGGAGCTGAAAGAAAGGGAATAAAAATTTTCAAAATACCAGCCTTCGGAACAACTCTCTCTTCCTCCTCCTCTCGCTCCATCTATGACGGCTCTTTATATTTCAGTGATTTTCCCCTCCTCCCTTCTAAAGCAGTGTGGTGATAGCAGCCATGTCAGGTCTGCTGTGCTTGAACTGTCAGTGGGCTTGTGTGATATTTAGCCAGAGATGGAGAGTACGAAAATATTCTACCATTACATTAATGAAATTTTACTTAAGTACAAGTAAAAGTACCAGTCTAAAAATCTCAAAGTAAAAAGTAGCTCATTTAAAATGTACTCAGAGTAAAAATTACTTAGTAACATTTTAACAGCGGGAGGGAGGCAAAAATGGGATAGGCTAAGGGTGTCAAACTCAGTTCCTGGAGGGCCACAGCCCTGCACAGTTTAGATATAACCCTAATCAAACTACATGGTATGTGCGTTGGAGCAGGGTTGGAACTAAACTCTGCAGGGTTTGACTCTGAGTTTGACACACCTGGGATAGGCCTATAAATCTCAAACTAGTTGTTTTTAATTAAAGGAATCAGTTAATTAGGATAATAAGACATTTGGGCTGTTACCAGGCAAATTAAATCAGTATCAACAAAATGCATATTTTCAATGCAGAGAAAACACAGAAGTTTCATCAGAAGTGTCATTTAGATGTATAGCATCACACATATCCAGCTTCATATCAATGGGTTTTCATAGACAGTAGGTTTGTTCGGTAGCTCACGGAGTACGGAGATTTACTTGAGAGGTGAGGGGAGCTCCAGTTCGAATCCTGTGTAACTACGATTCGACAAAACAGTTCAAATCTGCACATAAGGAAGTTAAAATCCAGGGTTCATGTATTGAACCCGTGGTTTAGCGGCACTCAGTGGACATTTCTCTTTGAAACTGCGGCGAAACGTGCAGTAAGGTACGTAAAAACGGTGTTGCAGAAATGTACACAGAGGTACGTATTTTTATGAGACTGGGTTGGTATTTACACACTGTTTAATGTAGGACATGAATGCATTTAACTTGCAGTTACAAATGCAGAAATAATGTTTTGATATATAAGACATAAAGTGTTGCATACTCATTTGAAATAAATACAAAAATAAAAAAAAAAAGGAATATTTACTA